GTCCTCCGGGAAGGGTTACATGTGCTGAACCTGGGGGGTTATGGGCAAACTTACCAGTACTTATCAAGCCCTTTTAACTCAGTGGTTAGTGACTGAGTTTCTAACATTGAATGGCTTGCCTTGCAGCATGGGAGCTTTGCTGGAAACCCTAATAGAGTTTGCGGCGTGTAGGTGTGTAAGTCTTGGCGTGTATGACAAGCACTATCTATTGCTACAAACAAAGCCTGATGAACACGAGACCGACGAGTGAGCGCTGACGAGATTCTGGAGCATCGGTGGACGGGAATACGGTATTCACCCACTAACGTCCCTTGTGTGTACAGCGGGGCTAAATCAGGGTTGTATCCGATAACACTCTATGGTCTCAGGGCTTAGAGGACCAGAACACTCTAAAAATACAGGGCCTTACAGAATGAAATACCTGAATTGACAGGCCAAACTACGATGCATAACCTGAAATCTCAGGGTCGACCAACGGACCACACCTTAAAAATCAGGCTTTCAGTGTCCTTTACCATGAAATCTAACGGCCTGGTGCACATGTCCTTGGTGCTAGAGGACATGCAGCACGAGCTGGATTACATTGCTAACATTGTACCTCATTTTTACGCCATGCTAGTATCCCCTGAGAGTGATCCGTATGCCTCGACATCCCCATCCCACGCTCTTACGCTTAGGCGGTGTTGGGGCTCTAGGCCGCCTAGTGGATACAGACCATGGAGGCAGAGATGACATCCTACAGATCCAGATGCAGTTACGTCAACGCAATTTCCCCTTATGCGGCGAACGTAATCGATGGCATTATGGATCTACAGGTGAACTGAGCACATAGAGAGACGCTGAAGTTCAAGTCTCGTTACGTGGCTACAAGTTTCAGTCAGCGGGAGGATGTGGACTTCTTCCAGGCCTTCTTCCCAACCCCGAAGATGATTATTCTTTGGATGCTCCTCCACCTAGCCTTCCCACCTGGTAAGACTACGAGCTCTACTCTCTCGACTTTTCCACAGCCTTCCTGCAAGGCAACCTTCACGAACAGATCTATATGAGACACCCACTTGGCTTCTCTAGATCCTTCCCACCTGGGATCCAATGGAGTCAGTGCCGCCCTATCTACGGTCTGCGCCAGGCGCCCCGTGAGTGACATGCTCCGCTCTATGCTCGCCGCTCTGTAGTTCTTCTCATCTTTTGCCGACCCCTCGCTTTTTCTTCGTACTGGTCAGACCATGTTCTACATATCTGTGTACGTAAAAGACCTTATATTTGCTACTCCTGATAGAGTCGCACTGCCCTAAGTGAAGGCCGAGCTGCTCAGACAATTTGCTCGTACAAACCTAGGAGAGTTGTGGTGCTGTTTGGGCTTGGAGATCTCTCGTAACAGTGCCACGCGCATGATCACACACTCTAAGTCCCAGATGGTGCAGGAAATCCTCCAGTGGTTCAGCCTTCAGTTCTTTTCAGCACAACTCACCTCTCTACTTGTGAATCACAAGCTCTTTGCTCCTGTTCCGGCTGAGCCGGCCGAGCCCAGTGATCTATACAAAGAGCTGGTGGGTTGTTGCATGTACCTGATGATGTGCAATCGATCAGATTTAGCATACCCGCTCATTGTCCTTGCTCGTTTTGTTGCGACTGGCAGACACCGACCAAAAGACTGGTCGGCTGCCAAGAGGGAGGCACGATATTTGGCGAGTACATCAAGATTAGGGCTAGTGCTGGAAGGACGTAAGCCAGTAGTGCTCACTGGATACACAGAGACGTCGTAGGCTGACGACCTAAAGACACCCAGGTCCTTACAGGGCTACTGATTTAGTCTTGGTGTCGGTGCAGTCTCGTAGAGGTCCACTAGGTCCTCGTCTGTAGCCCTGTCTAGCTATGAGACAGAGATCTACGAGGCTATGGCCGCTCAGAAGCTCTACTGACCGATATTCTTGCTTACCGACTTGGGTGAGCGACCTAGCTGTGCCCCGGTCCTGTTTGCTGATAGTAGGGCCATGTGTTGAATTATATATGTTAGTATATAATTGTAGGCTTGATAGGCTTACTGAACTTTACTGTAGAGGGTACAACAATCCTCCTTGTATCCCTCTCTCTTCTATTCTGATTCTCTTTTCTCTCCCCAACTCTCACCCCCTAGCCTAAAACCTCACGCCATCCATGGCTCCTTCTCCTACCTAATCCTAGCTTAGTTTTACACCATGGACCCCTTGTGTCATAAGGCTAGATTTGAGGGCAGGGCAAAGCACACTACTACGCGGGTTGTAGAAGCGCGGCCAGACTCGTGTTGTACAGCTGGTCTCAGAGGCCAACAATGCTGATATCTTTACCAAGGCTCTAGCGCTTCGTGATCAGCATCGAAATTGTACTCAACTTGGTCGTCTCAGTAGGCTCTCCTTTACTTGTATCCTCATCTATACTAGACCGGCTTTGTGTTTGCTTCTCTATACCGGTTGTCCGATTACGCTTGATGACTGTCCTTTTGGCCATTGTCTTAGTGGTTAGACCTGTAGTCAGGGCCTACTTTTGGATTTTTACTACTCTGAAATTAGGGAGTGGCTTTTTTCATCACTCTGAAAATCAGAGTGCTCCCCAATGGTTTCTCTGATTTTCCAGGGTTTTTTATGTTTCTCAAAAATTTACACTGACAATGCAGAGGGTTTTTTTAAGTAACTCTCTGCAGCAGGGTTCTCTAGGTGTGCGGGGCAAGATCGGGCGATGGGGGGTGGAACAAATGGGAAGTATTGAGAGATTGTATGGGCAGGGGGAATCGAGATTGCAGGGGCAGGGGGAATCGAGCTGGCAGGAGAGGTCGACACAGCAGGGGCGGGGAGGGGAAATCTTGCACTCCCCCTGCAAGCACACGTTGGCCCCAAATACGGTGAAGGGCCCAACCAACACGACCTCACACAGCCAACAGCGCATCTCGCTTGACCCCTAGATTTGGCGAAGGGCCAATCAGCGCCCTCATGCACCTTCCAGCACAATTGTCGAAGTGATTTTGGTTAACACTTACCGTAGCACCCTCACACAACCTCGAGCACGGACCAGACAATGATTTCGCCGGTGCGTGTCACATGACGCGTTCTGCGGGACACATGGGCACAGCTAGGTATAGGGGACAGGAACATAATCACATATATACGGTACCCCCTATATACGGACCATCAGAGTGGTACAAAGGTTTACTCGGATAAAATCAGAGTAAAACAAATAATTTATTTTTTTACTCAGGGCCCCTAGAGTAGTTTTCAAAAATGACTCTGATTTTCAGAGAAACAGAGTAAATTACTCTGATAAAATAGGCCCTGCCTGTAGTGCTGCCATAAGCTGTTTTTGTTACATACTCTAGAGGTTAGACCGGTAGTGCTGCCTTGGATTACTGTTTCCTGTTTGGCTTTGCCCTTACACATGTTAGGGGGTGAACAATCATATACATATAGATTTGTGTTATGATATATCAACTATACACGGTAGAAATATTTAGATACATGTTTATGTTTTGCCTTGTCTACTCAACAGATTCTCCCCTCTCGACAAATCCTTCAGCCTGAGAATGCGATTAAGGGTCTCCTGTCTATGGTATAGATGGAACGCCGGACATGCAAAACGATGTTTGCTCTATTTGCTATGTGGAAATACTTGCTAAAATATTCAAGCATTGTTGAAACTGCAACATGAAAGTTAAAAATGGAGGTCCACTGGTGAAAACGAGGAAGATTTCAAACCGAACCCTACGTTAGCAGCATCCCCAAACAATAGATAACAAGCGCACTAGGATCTTCGTGATGTTGTCATTGGAGGCCACGATACCTTGGGAATCCCTTCGGCTCGTTGTTTGCATGCAACCAATTAAGGGAAACTTGTTCTGCTGAAATGTGTGGCGAAACTGGTGAGCCGTCTGCTTTCGCCCCTTTCTGCAGTCAATTGCAGGTGTAGAACTTGGCCATTCGCCAATCGAAGTGTCTTTAGATTTAAAACCTGCGGTTGCACCTGGGACGAATCACAGCCATTCGCAGGGCGGGTTTGGTTGTAGCAGCACACCTGGAATTCACCTGGAAAACCATTTCCCATCCTGTGTATCAGCTTTGAGAACCCAAAAGCATACACACCCCTCTTGTGTGAGAGCATTCGAGTACGGACCAAATCTGTATTCTGAGGGCGCGGTACAAAAAGATCCCTTGGCGTTCTTTTGGCGATTCTAGAGTGTGGTTACCCGGTAGTCTAACTGTAGCACTTTTCGACCACGATTATGTATACAAAACGTAGATCAGATTGGCACGTTCCGACCATTGAAATTGACCAAAGTAACACTTGTGATCGACAGCCGATGATCGAATGCGAGAAGCCAATTACCAGTCTGGAGCTGGAGATTGATGCCCGAAATTCACGAAATGATTTACGAATCTGCGAACATCACCAGGTGAATTTCGCATACGCGCGCCAAAACATTGTAACATCGCTGGTGGTTCGGTTTTGTCAACACGCATCGATTTGGCGACGCGCGCATCTGTGCTTCTCTGTGATGTCACAATATGGGGGTTTCTGCAAACCTCGAAACACATATCTGCGCATCGTAGTCAACTTGACATCCGAACTTTCCTTGCGTAAATGACCTGAACATTGCCAACTGAACTCCAGAAACCGCGCCCTGAGATCGAATTTGCTGCTGCATGACCGCCTCAGGTGAAGACCCAGGCTATAAAAGCAGCCGCTGGTATTTTGAAATGCCAGGTGGGTGATCAGGAAGGAGACGGTCAAGGACCATGTGGTTTGTCGTAAGCGTGACCTGAGAGACCCCAAGTTGCCAAGGGCGCAATGGCAAGTCCCTCCCGCCCACCCGTCACGTCACCTATCACACCACCCGAAAGAACTCTTAGGGGCTGCTCCTTACAGATCATTTGGGCGTTATTTTCAGCAGGTTACCTGATGTCGCAAGTATGTCATGAGTCCAAAATTGTCTCTGATTGGGTGCGATCTGAAAAAAAAAAACACTTTTCTCGCATGATCATTGAGGTGCAAACGATCTCTAGGGACCGCGCCCCTAGGCATGACACGACACTCCCACGTGAGCAGGCAGTCCCTAAATCAGTCGTCCTGCATCAAAGCTCCTGAATCTTTGTCAATCTCAATCTCATGCTTCATTTCCAAAGCTCGTGAACCTTTTTCGTTCGAAACTGCCCAGCTCGCCTCTCGACGACCCGTCCCGCGGTCGTCGTCGCCATCGTGATGATGTCGAGAGCGGACTTGGCGTCGAGGCCACTCGGACGCGCCCTCCGCCGTCTGCTGCCCGCGTTGTTGTTGCTCGGTGAGGCATTCTCTTACTTTCTCATACTTGGCGTTTGTCTTTCGTTGCTTGCCGCCGAGTCGGCGCGGCGCCAGTCGTTTACGGCATCAGTTTCGCCTTTCTTTTCTTTGTCACGCGGCGTTTCACATTTTGTCGTTCCTTGTGAGCTTGTTTCGTGCGTTTCACCCACGCCGGTGGGCCACTGGTGGCTCCAGCTTGCTCCAAATCCTCCCACTTTTCCCCTCTCCCCCGTCCCTCCCCCTCTCCTCCCTTCGCCGCCTGTCTACAACCTTTCCAGCCTTCACGGCGCCGCACAATGCTTCTGCTCGTGAGTCCCCTCCTACTTCAAGAGTCTTGCTCCCTTCAATCCTTCAACTTTTAATGGATTCCCTCTCTGCTCGCGTTTCCGCTCGCTTTTCCGCTCGCCTTCCCGCTCGCCCTTCCTCCCGTTCACCTTTCCGCTCGCCCTTCCTCGCCTTCCCGCTCGCCTTTCCGCTCGCCTCGGCGGAAGGCTTTCTGCTCGCCCCTTCTCTGTCGCCTTCCACTCCATCATCCCCCTCCTCTTCTCGTGTTCCGCTCCGCCTCCCCTCCGCTCATCCCCCCCCTTTTCCGCCCGTCAGAGTCCTATTTCTCCGCACGCCTGGAGGATGGCGAGGCGCGGGCGGCCATTTTTTACAGCATCAAGTAAGCCGTCACGGTGAAGTGCGGTGCAGTAACCATTCCGTTAGCTCCCTCTCCCTCTCCCTCTCTCTCTCTCTCTCTCTCTCTCTCTCTCTCTCTCTCTCTCTCTCTCTCTCTCTCTCTCTCTCTCTCTCTCTCTCTCTCTCTCTCTCTCTCTCTCTCTCTCTCTCTCTCTTTCTCTGCTGTTAGTAGGACCTACTACTCCGAGATTCAGAATTCCTCCTCTTCCTTCTTCTCTCCCTCCCTACCTTTCCCTCTTCCAACCACTTTCGCCCATCTCCACGATCCCTATAATCAACCCCTTCCCATGGCTTACCCATTCCCCCTCCCCCCCTTCCCCCCTCTTCCCCCTCCCCCCCCTCCCCCTTCCCCCAACCAGCCCGCCGGCGAGCCCAGGGGCCGGCATGATTGTCGCCTACCGCTTCTTCACGGCTCTCCCCTCCAGTGGCCCGCCGGCGGCTCTCTCCTTCGTGAATACCACCGTCCCGGGATGCGACCCGGCCAAGTGTGGCCTTGCTCCCTCCATCACATGGCGGCCGGCCGGTGTGCCATCCGTCTACGAGAGCTACAACGGGATATTTCAGAGCGCGCCATGGTTCGACTCGAACCTTTACAATGTGTTCCTGAAGATTTTGGCGGGTAATTACCCGAGGGTGTCGATGACGTACAGCGACCCGCGGACGGGCGGCCTGCACACGGCGGTCTCGGAGCCGTTCAAAGCGACCACGTTCTCGACATATGGTAAGCCCTGGGGCGGCTTGGTGTCGGTGGCAGTGGCACATGGATTGGGGAACTTGCGTTGCTCAGTGTAATGCTTGTGTGTCGGCACCGTTCAAACCAAACCGATGATGTTCTTGCAGTATGGCAAGCGACAGGGGCAGCATCATGGCTGCTGCCCATGACTCTACATTACCATGTTGCTGCTCTGAGGCGTCTCAAAACTACACGTCAGCATCCTCATGCCTTTTTCTTTCACGCTGCTTGTCCCTCGTGCCGTGTTTCCTCGCGCTGCGTGTCCCTCGTTCACCGTGCAGGCATTGGCATCCCCATGACCAGCCTCGTCTACAACTTCAACGTCCGCTTCTCCTCCTACATGCCCGGCGGTGCCAACATCTCCCTCTCCCAATCGTGAGTCGCCCTCACTCTCCCATGATAGGGCGTACTCTTACCTGCAATCCTCTCCTCGTCACACTCAGTGCACACACGCCATCCTTCTCACCCCCACACCCACTCACTCCCTCTCTCACTATCCCTCCTCTCTACTTCCTCCCCTTTTTCTCTCCCCCTCCCTCCTGCTCAGTGCCGATGGCTTCTCCTTCCACCTCGACTACACCTATGTTGTGGTGGCGCCCACAGAGGAGCCCACCACTGGCCACCTTGGTGACTTTTGAGTTGCCTCAAGAGTCTCTCGCCCCCTCCCTCTCGCTTTGTCCGCTCTTTCTCTGTCCCACTCTCCCTCCCTCCTCAGTGCTGATGGCTTCACCTTCCGCCTGGATTACACCTATCTTGTGGTGGCGCCCACAGAAGTGCCCGCTGCGGTCCGCCTCGTCATCTACTACGAGAACGCTCCAGCCACCTCAACTGCTTCCACTGCTTCCACCTCCCGCCGCCGCCTGCTGAGCCTCCAGCCGGCCTCCCCTGCCGGGGCTGTGGAGAGCGGCAGCACGGACAAGCCGTCGCCGGAGGAGGTGAAGAGGCTCAAGGAGGAGGCACGGAAGGTGAGGGAGGCGGCGATTGCCAAGAGGGAGGCGGATAAGAAGGCACGGGCAGAGGCTATTGCGAAGCGGGAAGCGGAGAAGAAAGCGAGAGAGGAGGCGAAGAGGGCAAGGGAAGAGGCGAAGAAGGCACGGGCGGAAGCAATAGCCAAGAGGGAGGCAGAGAAGAAAGCTAGGGAGGAAGCGAAGAAGGCAAGGGATGAGGCGAAGAAGGCTAAGGAAGAGGCGATTGCGAAGAGGGAGACTGAGAAGAAGGCGAAGCAGGAGGCGAAGGACAAGTTGGTGAAAGACAAGGAGTCGCCACCTCCACCGCTGCCATCATCGCCATCACCCTCTCTCCCGTCCCCGCCCCCATCCCCTCCCCCGTCTCCACCATCCCCCCCCCCATCTCCACCCCCATCCTCACCTTCCCCCCCACCATCCCCACCCCCATCCCCACCCCCATCCCCGCCCCCTTCCCCACCCCCATCCCCACCATCCCCGCCCCCATCTCCTCCCCCATCCCCACCACCATCCCCACCCCCTCCTCCCCCTGCTGCTCCCACCATCTCATCCGTGTCCTTCCAATTCGGCGGCTCCGCCCCGTGCCCCGCCGGCAGCACAGACTGCCCAATCTTCTTCGCCATGATTGGCGCACAGCAGTTCTTCTTCTCGCCCGCATGGGGCTTCCCCACGCAGGCAGCGCGCGAGGCGGACCCGCGGTATGTGGGGCTGAATGCGCTCATGCAGTATGCGCTCACAGGCGTGAAGGGGCGGCTGGTGAATGCGAGCGTGCAACTAGTTGCGGCAGACAGTGGGAAGGGACCCAATGACCCGCTACAGCGCATCTAGGGTAGATTGTTGGGGCGCCTAAAAGATGGGGCGACTCGTGAACATGAGCATGCAGCTGGTAGTTGCGGCAGTGGCAATGGAACAAATGATACGGTGTTGGTCTCAATTTACAGGCGTTGAGACACATCCTGTAATTTTGCTTGTGTGATGCGTGGGTTTTGTTTTGGCTTGTGCGTTGAGGATAATAAATCATGTATGTTTTTGTAAGGTAACTTGAGTATTAGTTCTTAGGGACATTTTCCGTAGGGAAGTAGTATCGCCTTGTTCTCAATTGTTCAGACATTCAGCCTAATCGAATGGCTGTTATTCATCCGTAATTTCTGATCGGACGGCCGTTTTGCAATTCACGAGTCAAGCAGATTTTGCATCCCGCCCGAATCCACAAAAATCCGAAGTCGCGAACGTTTCATTCAATCTCCAGCATCGCATTTTGCATTTCGTCCCTGCATCCTCGCACTGTAACCGCATGGAAGTTCGTTGTCTCGCAACCGCTACGTCGCCGCTGCTCTTGACTCTTGACTCCGAATCTGAGCCGTTGGACCCGGTTGAATCTGTCGCACACCCCCCAACCAAAACCACACCAGGAAAGCACCCAGGCGATATCAGCAGAGGGCCTCGTTAGTGAGCTTGGCATTTCTTGGCACAGCAGAGCACAAGTCATCTGGAAAAAGGATCAACTTGGTCCTCCGTCTTGACGACAAAACGAGGACATCTGCTCCGCAATGCGCATCCGTCCAGTAGCAAGCATTTACATTTTCTTTTTTCCTTCCTCGAGTTTCCACCACATCCACTGTCCAGCAGCTCATTCCTTGTTGGCCTACGCTCTGCCTTGTCTCCTCCTCACACTCGTGCAACACATGCTTGAGCCTCGCAGAGAATATTCCATCAGAAGGTATTTCGAGCATCGGATAGATTCACACGCTTTCTTGCGCTGCACGTTCTCGCGCCGCACGCTCTCGCGCCGCACGCTCTCGCGCCGCACAGCAATTTGAGCACAGCCAGCGTGGCGTCGCGATTGGACGCACCAGCTTTCCTAGCGTCAGTCACACCGGCGTCCCTCCAAGCCGTCACTGGTGACGGTCGTCGGCTGTCCTTCCCATGAATATGTGGCGACGACCATCGGAGCTGCGCTCGAGGCGGCTCACCTCGCACCCGCCACATTCACCGCTCCCGCCGCTGCTCCTTCTGATCGGTGAGTGGCGCTTATTTGTCGCAGGCGCAACATTCCTGCTCTCCAATGGCCAGAAGTCCTGCTCTTCGATGGCCAGAAGTCCTGCTCTTCGATGGCCAGAAGTCCTGCTCTTCGATGGCCAGAAGTCCTGCTCTTCGATGGCCAGAAGTCCTGCTCTTCGATGGCCAGAAGTCCTGCTCTTCGATGGCCAGAAGTCCTGCTCTTCGATGGCCAGAAGTCCTGCTCTTCGATGGCCAGAAGTCCTGCTCTTCGATGGCCAGAAGTCCTGCTCTTCGATGGCCAGAAGTCCTGCTCTTCGATGGCCAGAAGTCCTGCTCTTCGATGGCCAGAAGTCCTGCTCTTCGATGGCCTGAAGTCCTGCTCTTCGATGGCCTGAAGTCCTGCTCTTCGATGGCCTGAAGTCCTGCTCTTCGATGGCCAGAAGTCCTGCTCTTCTATGGCCAGAAGTCCTGCCCTCTTTGCTCCGTCTTCACTCTCCCCTTCCCCCCCTCCACTCCCATTCCCCCCTCCCCTCCCTCTATCTCAGCGCTCCTTCTCTCGAGTCAAGCGAGCGCGTCTTTTGCCGCCGCCCCTCCGCCCCTGGGACAACCCGGGAGTCCCACTCCAAGTGAGCTCTTCCTCCTCCCCCCCCACCTCCCCACCCCCTTCCCCCCCTACCTGCTCGCTTTGATTCTACGAGGCCCCTAGCAGCCCCCTAAGAGCATCTCGCTCACCATCCGCAGCAGCAACAGCAGCGCCTGTAGTATCCGATACACGGCTCTGCTTCTGACTCGTCTGCTGCCGCAAGGCTCTGCCGTCAGCACACTTCCCCTCCCACCTTCGTTGCTTGCTTGCTGGCTTGCGTCTCCCGTCAGTAAGTTGAACGCGTTTGGCCGTTCTCGCCCCCACCAGTCGGAACATCCCAACCACCCGCATCGTCCCCACCGCCCCCACCAACCCTACCACCCCCACCGCCCCCATCTACCCACCGCCCCACAGGCACGTACGTCGTTGCTGAGATGCGGGATGGCGAGGCACGAGCCGTCATCTACCTGTCCCTCGAGTACGTCCCTGCTTGCTTGCTTGCTTGAGGGCCTTTTTGAGAGTTTTCAAGCCGGCCCGTAACGACCCATAACGAAACGTAACGACCCATAACGACCCGTAACGACCCGTAACGACCGGTTACTTACCTGCCCCTCGAGTGCGCACCTGATTGCGTGCTCGCTCGTGGCCCTGTCGCCTTAACATCCTCTACGTTTCTTCTTGCCACGATGGCCCACCATGAGATGATTTGCTCTCTCGTCTCCTCTCCCCAACGCAATCCCTTTTCCCTCGCTCTCTTTCTCCCTCCCTCTCTCCCTCTCTCCCTCTCTCCCTCTCTCCCTCTCTCCCTCTCTCAAGCGGTCCGTTTATTCCTTGGAATCCTGGGTACAGGCTAGGCATGTGGAGGACAACCGAGGAGAGGTACGTGCATGTTTGGGGGCGCCCGAAACTACTCGAGCTCCCCTAGGGGCTCTGCTACAGCAAAGCAGTCCCCTAAAGCCATGTCGGCATCGGGAGTGCCCACGGGGGTGTGGGGGGCCGGGGAGGCTTCGTTAACCTTGCCCAGGTAAGCTAAGGCCTAACGCTGGAGCGTCTCTCCCTCTCTCCCTCTCTCCCTCTCTCCCTCCCTCCCTCTCTCCCTCTATCCCTCTCTCCCTCTCTCCCTCTCTCCCTCTCTCCCTCTCTCCCTCTCTCCCTCTCTCCCTCTCTCCCTCTCTCCCTCCTCCCTCCTCCCTCCCTCTCTCCCTCCCTCCCTCCCTCCCTCCCTCCCTCTCTCCCTCTCTCCCTCTCTCCCTCTCTCCCTCTCCCTCTCTCCCTCTCTCCCTCCCTCCCTCCCTCCCCTCTCCCTCCCTCCCTCCCTCCCTCTCTCCCTCTCTCCCTCTCTCCCTCTCCCATACCCCACACCCACACCCAGCTTCTACCCCAATACATCAACGGTACAGAATCTTTGCCGCTCACTCCACCAGCCCACCCGCCCGTATCACCAGATAACCCCACACAACTCAGCTTTCCCTCTCACCCCCCCACCCACCCCAGCTTCTACACCAACACATCCACCATCCAAGCCCAGTACAAGCTCTTCGCCGCTCTCCCCGCCGGCCCGCCCACCTACATCACCCTGGCAAGCACAACCCTCCCCAGCTGCGACCCGTCCAAGTGCAGCCTGCCCCCAGCCACCCCCTCCTGGACTCAGCCCGTGCCGTCTGTGTGGGTGGCTGACGGCACCTTCTACAGCACCCCTGGCACGGACCCCGAGCGCCACTCTGCGCTGCTGCAACTGATCGACAACTCCTCGGTCTTCCCGAATGCGACCATGGCCTACAGCAACCCAGCGATGGGTGGCCTGCGCTCGGCGACGGGGCGACTCCGGATTGACACCAACATGAAATTCTGTAAGTCGGAGTACCGTATGGATGGGTTTTGGCCAACATATATTTGCCAGGCTTGGCGTAGAAGGTGCAGAAAATATGTAGGTGGGAGTAACATATGGATGGGTTTGGCCTGCAAGGGGGCTGACGGCACCTACTAAAGCACCCTAGTTTCTTGTCGGTCAAACTAGGGTGGCCTCGCACATGCCTTTCTCCCGTGCTTGTCTCAGCGCTTCCTTTCCTCGCTCGCCTCTGCGTCCACATGCAGTGGAAGTGGGACCCATGTCAGGTTGGGAAGTGGGGCCCATGTCAGGTTGGGAAGTGTGACCCATGTCAGGTTGGGAAGTGGGACCCATGTCAGGTTGGGAAGTGGGACCCATGTCAGGTTGGGAAGTGGGACCCATGTCAGGTTGGGAAGTGGGACCCATGTCAGGTTGGGAAGTGGGACCCATGTCAGGTTGGGAAGTGGGACCCATGTCAGGTTGGGAAGTGGGACCCATGTCAGATTGGGAAGTGGGACCCATGTCAGGTTGGGAAGTGGGACCCATGTCAGGTTGGGAAGTGGGACCCATGTCAGGTTGGGAAGTGGGACCCATGTCAGGTTGGGAAGTGGGACCCATGTCAGGTTGGGAAGTGGGACCCATGTCAGGTTGGGAAGTGGGACCCATGTCAGGTTGGGAAGTGGGACCCATGTCAGGTTGGGAAGTGGGACCCATGTCAGGTTGGGAAGTGGGACCCATGTCAGGTTGGGAAGTGGGACCCATGTCAGGTTGGGAAGTGGGACCCATGTCAGGTTGGGAAGTGGGACCCATGTCAGGTTGGGAAGTGGGACCCATGTCAGGTTGGGAAGTGGGACCCATGTCAGGTTGGGAAGTGGGACCCATGTCAGGTTGGGAAGTGGGACCCATGTCAGGTTGGGAAGTGGGGCCTATTCCAACCTCAACTTCGTCGCTCACTTGTCGTTGCATCGCCTCAAAGCCTTTCCCCTCTGGTTTCTGCTGCTGCCTGCCTGCAGTGGAAGTGGGAAACATCCCCACATTTGTTCCCAACCCCAACTTTGTTGTTCGCTTCCGCTCCTACATGCCTGGCGGCGCCAACCTCACCCTCACCCAGTCGTGAGTCCCACTCAATCCTGACCTCTCACTTATGCAACGTTGGTGCTGACTTTCCGTGTGCGACTTTCTGGCCGATCCCGACCTCTAACAGAAGTGGGCTCACCGATGGTTGTCACCCGGTCGGGAAGAAAAATGTATCTTATCTCTCTGGCTGGGTGTGTCGTAACACAGGACCACAGCTTTCATGACCTCTCGTCATTTCGTTCTGCAAGCTCAAACCTGCAGCAGCCTCACTCCCATCATGGCCCGCGCCTTATTGCGCACGCCTTATGCCCCGCCTTAGTCCCGCTCCAGTCCCTGCATCCCTGCCACTTGAGGATCTGCTCAAAAGCGGCTCCGCTCCCTGCGTCCTTGCTACTGTTGAGTCCCCTCAAATGCTGCTCCATTCCTTGCGCCCCTGCTCTGTTCTCTGCATCCTTGCCACAGCCCCGACGGGCTGAGCTTCTGCATCGATGTCATCTGTGTGATCGTGGCAGTGGTGATGCCGTCGCACCCCCCTCTCACCCTCCTTCGTCATTGCCCGCACTCCCCCCCCCCCCTTGCCGCAGGCCCGACGGGCTGTGCTTCTGCATTGATGTCATGTATGTCATGGTGGCGCCCTCCAACGAGCTGTCGTCGCACCCCCCTCTGACCCTCCTGTGCCGCTGCCCACATGTTTCTCCTGCCGCAGGGCTGACGGGCTGCGCTTCCGCATCGATGTCATCTACGTCGTCGTGGTGCCCACCGACGAACCCTTCGGCTCCGGCCTCGCCGTATTCCTGCAGGATGCTGCTGCCCCGCCCCCCTCCTCTGACCCCCAGCATGGGGCTGCTGGAGGGTGCAAGCCTGCAGGGAAGGAGAAGGAGAATAGAAAGGGCAAGAGCAAGGTTACCGGAAGGGATAAGCCCAAGTGCAACAACGGCAAGGGGGGGAAGGGGGAGGAGGACGAGTGCTGTGACGATGCCAGCACCCCTCCGACCATCACTTCGACAATCCTCTCGCTCATTTCCAAGTCGGGTACATGTGACTACACGTGCCCCTCTGTGTTCGCCCTGTACGGCACGAGGGAGTGGGCCTTTGATGGATTCACGCCTGAAGTGCGGGCAATGATTGCGGACTACAATGCGCTCACAGCGCTCATGCAGTATGCAGCCACGGGGGTGAAGGGGCGGCTGGTGAATGCGAGCATGAGGGTGGTGTCCATCGACATGCCCTACGGCCCCAATGACCTCCTCGAGCGGAAGCAAGGCGCTTTTTAGAGTTCTCAAAAGCACATTGCAGTATGCGATGAGGGGGTGTGAAGGGGCGGCTAGTAAATGCGAGCATGGGGTTGGATTCCATCGACATCCCCCTCAGCCCCCATGACCTCCTCGAGTGCGTTTGAGGATTCTCAGGTTTTCCCTTGCAAGTTGCAGCTCCTTGAGTGTTTTTTGTTCAGTAAGGAGGTTATGACAAAATAGCGCATAAAAAGGTGACGAAGGAGAAATGTCGAGAGTACAAGAGTGGGTGTTGTACCCTATACGAACAGACCTAGATAGGCTATAACAAATCTAACCCAACTAACATATAAATGTATATTTGTTGACACCCCCTAGCCTAGATAGTGGCAGTTAAATACAAGGCAGAGCATACACATGGCAGCACAACTAGTCTAACCACTTAGACAAGAGGCCACAAGGCTAGTCAGCAAGTGTAGCAAAACAGGCAGGTATAGCATAGCAAGTACAAGCAGGTATACCGTAGTCCCCCGTATATAACTGTTAGATTACGATAATAATTTACTAGGAAGAGAAACCTAGAACATATACCTGTTGGGTTGCACTCACTAGAAGCACACACCTAGTCTAGCCTATAACTTCTACATAGAACATATGTATAAGTTGACACATCCCCTAGGCTAGATAAGGGGTGGAGCTAAGCAAGAAGCACACAGCTCAGGGTGGCACTACTAGTCCAACCAATGAGGCAGGGGTCCGGAGACCAGTCAGCAAGAGTACAAACAAGACTAAAGCAAGCCAGGGCGGCACAACTAGTCCAGCCACTGGAGGTAAGGCCACAAGGCCAGTAAGACAGATATAAATAGTAGAGAGTACACAATCAGGGTCCTAACAAGTGAGAAGTGACAGGAACAAGACCAAGCTGGACACAGTGCCGCTGATGATCTTTAGGCACAAGCGCCTTAGTAAAGATATCAGCAGTGTTGGCACCGGAGGCCAAGTGAACTACGCGGGCCTGGCGACGCTGCTGTAGCTCGCGCAAGAGGAAGTACCGCAGCTGGATATGCTTCGCTCTGCCCTCAAGCCGAGGCTCCTGACATAGGAGAATCATGGCCCTGTTGTCAGCGTACAGGACCGGGGCAGAGCTAGGCCGCTCACCTAAGTCTGTGAGCAAGAAGGTAAGCCAGCGGAGCTCCTGTGCCGCCATGGCACCGGCGTAGATCTCAACTTCACATCTGGACTAAGCAACAGACGACGAGCGAGTGGATCTCCAAGAGATAGCACCCGAACCAAGACTAAAACAGTAGCCCTGAGACGACCTGAGAGTCTCTGAGTCGTCTGCCCAAGAAGCGTCTATGTGCCCAGTGAGGACCACTGGCCTGCGTCCTCCTAGCACTAACCCCATGCCCGATGTACTTGCAAGATAACGCAGAACCCTCTTAGCGGCAGACCAGTGCTGAGGTCGGTGTCTGCCTGTAGCCACAAAGCGAGCCAGGATGCTGAGAGGGTATGCGAGATCTGGGCGAGTGCAAGTCATCAGGTACATGAGGCAACCCACCAGCTCTGCGTAGGGGCCATTGGGCTCTATTGGCTCCTGAGGAAGGGGAGCGAAGAGCCCATGGTCTACAGGTAGAGGTGTGGGCTGTGCGGCGGAGAACTGAAGGCTGAACCTCTGAAGGACCTGACGCACCAAGTGTGACTGTGTCAGAGTGATGGTGCGTGCTGCTCTGTCCCTAGAGATCTGCAGGCCAAGATAGCGACGCATCTCTCCAAGGTCAGTGCAGGTGTGTCTCTTCAGCAGCTCGGCCTTCATAGAGGCCAGTGCATCCATGCCAGCAGTAGCGAAGACCAAGTCGTCTACGTAGACAAGGATGTAGAACGGAGTCTGGCCGGAACGCACAAACAGCGAAGGGTCAGCAGAGGACGGAAAGATTTGCAGGTCTGCTAACGTGGCCCGCAGCGTGTCGTGCCACTCGCGGGGAGCTTGGCGCAAGCCGTAGACCGGGCACCTGAGAAGCCACTGGGTTCCAGGGGGGAAGGTACCAGTGAAGCCCTATGGTCAGCGCAGGTAGACCTGCTCGTGTAGACTGCCCTGAAGAAAGGTAGTAGAGAAGTCGAGGGAGTGAAGCTCGTAGTCGCGCTGTGCTGCTATGTGTAGCAGCGCTCGAAGAGTGGTCATCTTCGGGGTCGGGGCGAAGGTCTGGAAGAAGTCAACCCCCTCGCGCTGACTGAAGCCTCTGGCCACGTAGCGCGCCTTGAAGACAGGCGGCTCTCCAGGGGGGCGCTTCACCTTGAAGAGCCATCGACCATCGACTACGTTCGCCCTAGGCGGGGGAACTGCGTCGACGTAAGTGCCGGTGGACCTCCAAGATGCCAGCTCCTGCTCCATGGCAGCCATCCACTGAGAGGCCCAAGGTCCCGAGGTGGCCTCAGCGTAAGTGCGAGGGGTCGGGATGTCGAAGGCGTCTGGGTCACCCTCAGGGACTAGTAGCATGGAGCAGAGATGGGGAGTGGCCTCGGAAAGGAAAGCAAGCGCGTACTGCCTGTCCTCTAGAACGTCACTGCCAAGGGCAGGAGCACCCCCGACGGACGGAGGACGGGCAGGGTCATAGACCAGAGCGGTGGCGTAGTCAAGGCGGCGGGTAGAGGCGAAGTCAGCGACAGCAGCGACAAGCGCGTCAAGGCGCGAGAAAGGAACAGAAGGGTTGGTAACAAGAGAGGCAAGAACCCGAGGGACAAGAGGACGAGCGGCACGGAGGTAGTCAGACAACGGAGGAGGTGCAACATCAAGCGACGAGGGAGGAGGGGACGGGAGGAGGGGAGGATGAGACGAGTGGGAACGGAGCAACATAGGGTGGGAGCGCAGGACAGGAGAGACGGGACGAGCACGGGAGGGACAGCGAGACCAAACGTGGGACGGAGGTGTAGGGTCAGGAGACAGCGGAGGGGACACAGGAGGGGAACGAGGAGGAGGACGGGCCGGAGACGAGTCCGGGGGCGGGAACACAGGACCGTAAACAGGAAAGTCAGGAGGTAGTGGGAGAGACACCAGCGAGCGGTCAGGGGAGGGAAGGCCGAGCAGGCGGAGAGCGGAGACCGGCGGCGACGGCTATTGCAGCTGCCGCGTCTGCTGGGCCGGAACCCTCGGACCGGCAGGACGACCGCCGGCAGAACACTCAACAGCAGCACCCCCAGAACCAACACCCCTAGAGCGAGAACCCCCTCCAACACCAGCGGCACCCCCACGGGCCGCAGGACGAACACCCTCCTCAACGCCAGCACCCCCAAAGGCCAAGCGCGGCGGCGGCGGCTGCGGCAGAGTCGGCAACCGCGACAGTGGGGGCGGAGACACGGCGGGAGGGGGACGCAGCAAGGACGGGCCGGGGGTACCACTAGAGTCAGCAGACTCCTCAACGGGGACAACCGACTGGAGGGGAGTGACGTGAGAGAGACCAGACGGGGCAGGACGAGGCGAGAGAGGAGCAGGGGCTACTGGGGGAGAGGGAGCAAGGAACAAGGGCGGGGCAACCGGGAGACCTCGGTGAGGAAAGGGGCGGTAGAAGGAGACAGACTCGTCAAAGGTGATGTCACGAGAGTGGAGGAAGCGGTGAGACGGCGGGTGGTAGAAAAGCCAGTCAGACGAGTGACGGGGGAAACCGAGGAAGACACAGGGGACAGTGCGGGCAGTGAGCTTGTCCATGCCAGAGGCACGAACGTGAGCAAGGCAGCCCCAGACGTGGAACACAGACGCGTCACCTGGGGACCCGGTCCAAAGGAGGGTCGGCGAAACCTGCGGCCGCTGGGAGCGTGGCCACAAGTTAAGCTGGTGAGCAGCGTAGCGAACAGCGAACGGCCACAGAAATTGGGGGGCATCGGCATGAATCATGGAGGTACGAGCAACCTCTATGACCAAGCCGATGCGGTGCTCAGCAACCCCATTCTGTTGTGGCGAGTTCGGCAAGGTGTACGACTGGGTGATGCCCTCCGCACGACAGAATTGTCCAAGCCGACCAAAGGCGAACTCGCCGCCACGGTCAGAGTGGAGACACAACACGGGGAGACCGCGGTAAAGACGTGCAGCCACAACCCACGGGAGAAGAACGTCGGGCACGTCGGCCTTCCGCTCCAGGGGAAACACCGTGGTGTAGCGCGTGTAGTCGTCGACGAGCACAAGGAAGTAGCGCTCACCACGCGGTCCGGGGACGGGGGCAGGGCCCCAGACGTCCAGGTGCAGGGTCTGAAGGGGGGCACGACGGGGGCCAGGAGTGCGCTACGGGGGCTGGAGGGCGCGACGGAAATGACCAAGGACACTAGAGGCAAACTCGCCACCACGTTCGGAGTGGAGGCGCAAGACAGGGAGACCGCAACGGACACGCGCAGCGACAATCCACGGGATAAGAACGTCAGCACGTCGGCCTTCCGCTCCAGGGGGAAGACAGTGGTGTAGCGCATGTAGTCGTCGACAAGCACTAGGAAGTAGCGCTCTCGACGCGGCCCATGGACGGGGGCGGGGCCCCAGACGTCCATGTGCTGAGTCTGTAGCAGTGCAGCGGTAGGGGGAAACGAGGAGGAGTGAGGAGCATGGCGAAGCCGGCCCTCGACACAAGGCGTGCAAGGTGGGGCAGGGGAGGAGGGAAACTCAGAGAAAGACCCAGGGAGGTCTAGGACGAGACCGTGCTGTGACATGTGATGCAGACACAGGAGTGCAGGGTGACCTAGACGGTGGTGCCACAGGAGAGTCGGGTGGGTGAGTGACCGACAGGAGCAGGCAGCAGCAACCTGGGTAGACGGTGCCACCTGAGGGGGGGTCCCAGCCGGGGGGGTCACAGTGTCCAGTGTGAACAATCCGGACACCGGGTCCCGGGGGAACGTGGTAAGGGGGGCACCAGTGGTGGCCTCGGTACAGACAGTGTACCGCTCGTGACCAGGGAACGTAGTGGTGACGCCAAGGTCCTGGAGGCAGCCGACACCAACTAGGTTCCTGGAGAACGAGGGGATGTGCAGGCCTGTGAGAGAGCCCGAAGGAACCGCCGGGCAGGGGAGGGTGGTGGAACTGCGGGCGACTACAGGGCCAGAGGAGGGGTCAGCCAGGGAGACGGCGGCAGGGACAGGAAGTGGTGTCAATGTGGTGGAGTCGCGGAAGAAGCACCGGGAAGCGCCAGAGTCGAGGGTGAAGCAGAGCGCGGCAGTGGCGGCCGTAGGCGAAGTAGCGACGGAAGCACCAAGGCTAAACAATGCAGGGGATCCTACGTCTGACGCAGCAGGGGAGTCTAAGGAAGGCACACCTACACTAGGCAACAAGGGGTAATAAGACGGAAGCACACTAGAGTCATCAGCATACATCAC